TGATCAAATTAGCACTACTACATCAAAGGCAAGCCTGGAAAGAGCATTGTTTTGGCATTAATATGCTACCAGATTGCATCTATTACACTGTTGTTTAAGCAATATTGCCACTGAAGCTAGTAACATGTTAGCCCATTCAAATGTCCTGAAAGTTGGCACAAGGAAAACAAGAAGAAGAAACCACTGGGTACAGGGCAGCCAGTTCTTTTTCCAGCAGCACCTGTCCCTTTCTCCCTCTGGAGTGACACAATGGAGAAGGGAGGAAATCCCAACTCAAGAGTGGAACAGTAAAGAGAATTCAGTTTGGCAAGAGTCCTGTTCATTGCAGGATCAACCAAACACACACAGATAATAATGCAAAGTGCATGTTCAGTTATTTATAATTAAATGCAAAAAAACCTAGTCAGTGTAGTGTTACATGTGAGATTTTTCATTACGCACTGCGACAGATAAAGCAACTTCTTGCAATATCTTTGGGAGACCATATTGTATTAAGTACACCTCTACCCCGATATAATGCGACCCGATATAACATGAATTCGGCTATAACACGGTAAAGCAGTGCTCCGGGGGGGCAGGGCTGCGCGCTCCGGTGGATCAAAGCAAATTCAATATAACGCGGTTTCACCTATAACACAGTAAGATTTTTTTGGCTCCCGAGGACAGTGTTATATCGGGGTAGCGGTGTACATAAATGATTTATGTATCATTGTGGGCCTTGGATTGTATGCACTGCATGTGGGGAGGGTTACCACAGCTCTGCAGGTAATGAAAACAGTTGGGGATGATTAAGGCTAATCACACAGGTTATAAGATCTCCAGAGAGATACCACACCTCCTGGGGAGGCTTGCATATTCTTTTTCAAAGTCTGTTCTCCAGAGACCAGCAGACAAAGAAGGGACTTTTGGATAAATAACTCAAGCTTAAACTGTCTTGGGACTTTCATTCTTGTTCCTGATCTAAACATTGATATGAACTTGTTGTGGCAGATGTGAGACCTGGGCGTTCAAAGGGCCATACTGAACAACGTGCTAGACAAGAGGGATAGCTCAGTGGTTTGAGCATTGGCCTGCTAAATCCAGGGTTGTGAGTTCAATCCTTGAGGGGGCCACTTAGGGATCTTGGGCAATATCAGTACTTGGTCCTGCTAGTGAAGGCAGGGGGCTGGACTTGATGACCTTTCAGGGTCCCTTCCAGTTCTAGGAGTTGGGATATCTCCATTAATTTAAACTCTTGGAACAAAACATGTTAAGTGGTTTTGCTGGGGAATATCTTGGGGGAGGTGAATGCAAATTCTCTATCTCCGGTTATGCAAAAATCCAGCTTTTTGAAGCTATCAATGCTTAATTTGTGCTGGAGCTCGGCAGGGCTGAGCCCCGGCACCTCTAGCCTTGGCAGTTCATAGTCTGGGCACCTCTGGGCTCCCAGCCAGCGGCTACCACTTTCTGACCAACCAGCTCTGAAGGCAGCATCACTGCCAGCAGCAGCACAGAAGTAAGGGTGGCAATACCCATACCATGCCACCCCCACTTCTGCATTGCTGCAGTGGCAGTGTTGCTTTCAGAGCTGGGCGCCCCCAACAGCTGCCACTCTCTGGCCACCCAGCGTGAGCCCCGGCATCTCTCTCATTACAAATTAAACACTGGAAGCTATGCCCTGAGGAGTAAGCCACTGTCTGCTGATTACCTGTTACATGAGTCTAAGATCAAGGGCCCATGCTATATAAAAGAAAGACTGGGCTATTCATGATTGTTCTGGTTCCGAATCTGAGAGAGTTATGAACTTGTAACTATGGGGAAAACCCAGTTGTGGGATTTGAAAGACTGATGCCTGCCAAAGCCCTATGTTGGAGTCGGGGGTAACCACTGGTAAGTATGCGTGTAGGTTCTTTTATTATTTTTATGTTTTTCTCTGTAAAGCATCTAATTTAAGAATAAATGTGCTTGCTTAGAAGAAGCTGTGTGGTCGTAACTTGTAACTGCTGGAAATACTCTGGTCATAGCCCTCGGAGAGAAAGCGAAGTGCAGGTGGTGGACTTTTAGGCAGATGGACTTGCTAGAAATATCACCCTGGTCAGGAGGGAGTGAGACACAGGTCTCCACCAAAACAAGGTGATGGCTGGAAGCCAGAAACCTTTAAGTGGGTGTCCTCGAGGGACCATGGCAGGGGAAACACAGATGCAATTACCCTGAAACTGTGATGCACACAAGCCAGGAAATTCAATTCTTTGGTTTCCACAGCAAACATAATTTGGCTTCTTGCATACATGGAGTATTTTTGTTACTATATATAGTGTTATGTATATGTATTCATATATATGTGCATACACGTCATGCACTCACACACAACTTTGCACTCATGGTACTATATACAAATGTTAAATAATAATATATATTTATATACACATACAATGGCCAAGTAGCAGCTGCTGTGGGAGCTATGGGCCGAAACCTGAACGGGTGTAAATCAACATGACTCCATTGGAATGATTGCAATTTACACCAGCTGAGAATCTGGCTCCTTAACTTTGGCATTCTTGACTTTCATACATTCAAAATTTCAGCAATAATCTTGCTTTTTTATTTCATTCCTTGTTGTTTTTTAGTTGTTTTTTATTTTCTTTTTATTTTATTTCTAGTTTTATTTTCTTTTTTAAAAAAACTGTACTTATGTGGTTGGATTAAAGCCCCCTGTGTTTGAATGATACTCCGTGTAGCTGTACATGATTTTCAAATACAGAACTGGACAGGGCCATATGCTACCTGTGTTGGTTTTCCAGAGCAAGGTTTAGAATTCACTTACAGTATCCACTTACAGTTTCCTCCCTCATCCTGATTCTGATTCAGCATAGCACTTAAGCACATGCTTAACTTTAAGCACATGAGCAGTCCAAATGACTTCAGTGGCTCTACTCACTGGCTTGAAGTTACGCATGTGCACACACAA